GGTCTCCCCGCCTTGGCTCGGCTGCCTCCCGTCGCTGCGTCAAGGGAAAAGGAGAAGGAAGAGAAAGAGGCCGCTTTGGGAGCCGCCTGTGCCCCAATCGCCTCGGGCCTATGTCCTGAGGGAAAAAAAAAAAAAAAGGAGGAAAAAAGGAAAATCCAAGAATGGCAGAACGTGGCCCCAAAAACGTTCTGGCTGCACCGGCAGGGACGGCGAGGGCTTGTGCAGAGCAGATGCGGGGCTGACTCGGTGTCAAGAGCGGTTGTTGAGGGGAAGGAGGGGCTCCCAGGAGCCTGTGGACGCAGCAGAGAGGCCGGTGGGAGCACAGAGGATGAGACAGGAGCTATGATTTACCTGCCGAGATGTGGGGCCGTATTTCCTGAGCCTCAGACGTCCTGGGAGCAGGACAGGCTTCCGGTGCTGCCCTTTGGGGCTGGGGACGTGCTGAGCCGGTGGAACCCAGAGCAGGGACAGGAGCAGAGGTTGGAGCAACGGCTCCCGCAGCAATTCCCTGGTGGGAGCAGGGACAGTCGCGTCCTGGCTGTTTGTTCCAGGCCCGAAGCCTGGTTAGGAATGGAAGGAAATGTAAATAATACAGAAACCACCCAAATGATAGCTGCGGGGCTGGATGATTGAAGTGCAGTGTGAGTGGCCTGTGGAGAATGTCAAGGCTGTTTGTGGGAAGCCGTCAGAGCTGGAAACACTCTGGGGCTGCCCTGGGGAGAGAGGCAGACTCACAGGCCAGCTTTCCTCTGCTCCAACCCACCCTGATGTGCCCCAGTGCAGCTCCCTCCTGCCTGTCAGTGCCATGGGGGCCCTGGCACAGGACTGGGGCAGGACTTGCCACAGACATGCTGCCTGCAGACCTCAACCCAGCAGGTGAGAGCCTCGAGGCAGGAGAGCTGGGGAGATGCTGCAGGAGTGAGGAAGGCTGGAGCCCATGGGACGCCCAGGTTGCGTCATGGAGGGGATGTGGGCATTGATACAGTCTGTCTCACCACTGATAAATCCCCTCTTCTCATGGCAGCCGTCAGCAGTCCTGCTGAGCCACCCTCGTGGCTGCCGTGGGAACACAGATGTGGCAGTGTGGGGCTCCGAGGGCAGGGAAAGGACCCCCGCTGCAGGCACACGACCCCGCGCTGGGGCGGTGCAAGGGGAGCGCAACACGGCAGCGGTTGCGGCAACTGCGGGACTTTGCCCCACGCGGGCCCCGTGCTGCCGACGGTGCTGGGGCGACAGGAGCCTCCGGGAACGGCCGCAGCCCCGCGCTCGGGGGTGCATAGGGGCGGAAGCGGCCGACCCCAGGGGGTGGGTGTTCCCGGGCGGCGCGGGTCCCAGGGGGGCGCGGGGGGCCCGGGCGCGGGGCTCTGGCTCCCTCTGCCGTCCGAGCGCTGCGGCTGCAGAGCCCGCCCGGGACCCTCCCCCGGGGCCTGGGGGGGCTGCAAAGCCCGGGATCTCCGGCCCTGCGGCTCTCACACCCTCGGGTCACACAGGGCCGAAAACAGCATTTCATTTCGAAGGATGCAACGAGGTGACCACGGCCACACATGAGGGCTTCAAGCACACCCATCCTTCCTGCTGCACCTCGGGGCCTCAAAGGAAGCAGGAAACCCGCTCCCGTCCCCTGTGCCCACCCTCGTACCTACCTCTGCAGGGGAGAGCCAGGGAGCTGCATGGCCAGAGCCCCCCAGGGCCCCAGGACAGAAGGCCAGAGCCAGGCACAAGCAGGAGAAGAGAATTTAAAGAGTTTTTGATGGGACAGAGGGGCTTTGTGGTGGGGAAACACAATGCAGTTGCAGCAGGAACCCCCAGGATGCTTTTCCTGGCTGAAGTGGTGAGACATGGATGGACCCCTGCCTCCCACCACCACGGGCCTGCCACAGGCTGATGGGTTCAGAGAACTTGGGGCACCTGTAAGAGCAACAAACAGCACCCTCTACCCACAGCGCCAGGGGGCAAAACTCAGCCAGGGATGCTGGGCGTCCTCCCAGGCTGGGATGGCATCCCTGGCACAGGGTGTCCCACCCTGCCTGCAGGGCAGGACAGGATCAGACAGCGGAGGCAGAGACCCCTTTTCTTGCTTCTGCCATCACGACACGTGGGACTGTTGCATCTTGGTCTACAAAAAGAAGGCAGGCTTCTTACTCACTTTCAAATTAGGTTTTTAATTAAATAAATAACAGCGAGGGGTCTTCAAGGCAGTGTCACTTCACAGTGTAGGGCTGGGGGGCAAGGGAGAAGAGTCCAGCATTGGGCGGCTCAAAGTGAATGTGCTTTGTAAGAAGGAAAAAGAAAACCCCAACAAAAACCAAAACCAAACCTCCCCCCTCAGTGACTCCCCCTTCCCTGTCCCAGCCTTTTCCACCCCTCTGCCTCAAAGTTATGTGGATAAAGCCCACACTCATGTTGAAAGACCCCATGCAAATTTGTAAACAACACTGAAAGACATGAAGAGATTTCTGCCTTCCCCAGCTCCTGTCTCCTTTCATTAGGGCTTGAAACAAACCAAAGAAAAAATGGTTTCAGAAAAACTAAGAATGTTCTCAACTGATGGAGGAGATGCCAAGGCCTGGCCCTCCCTGGGAGGGCTACCCATACTCTCACCCTGCCTCTTCTTCTCCCTTCAGCCAAGGAGATTCCTCTTGTCCCCAGGAAAGGGGAATCACAGCCTGGGCAGTTCCACTATGGAGCAGGCACTGGAAGCAGCTGGAGGGGAGGCCTCTGCCAACCTCATTTGGCTGACAAAATGGTGCCAGGTGAAGGCAGCTGCTTGTGCCTGAGGCTCAGCACCTCCCAGCAGTGCTGGGGACTGAAGCAAATGCACACAGAACAGATTTGGGGCTTAGGAGATGAGACAAGGTCTAATCCTGCCGTCCCATGAGGCTGCTTCATCCTGCCTCTGTGCCCCAGCTGCGGGGCTGAGCACGACTTCCCAGGGTCAGGTAAAAGGAGGATGCAGGCTTGTGGGTTTAGGTACCTGCCAAATCCACTGGCAGCAGAGCCAAGTGCACAGTCACAGCCCCAAGGCCTCTACCAAAGCAAGCAAAAGCCCTCAACCCAAGCCCCCTCCCAACTGCAGAACACAGCTGGAGGAAGGGACCATCTGCACGAGGGCCTTGCTCAGCAGGTGAGGGGAGAGCATTCTCTGCATGGAAAAAGGGGAATGAGAACACGTTGGATTTAAGCCAGTGGCAAACACCAGACCTGGAACACATGTGGGAAGCAAAGCAGCTCTGGACCCCGGCACACCCATGGACAGGCCCCCGTGGCTCTGCATGGCAGGCAGTACCTCGTCACCACACAGGGCTACATGTCACCTCCCCGAGCATGGCAGTAAAGACACACTTTCCTCTCAGAAAACAGTCTGCTTTGTGAGGGAGGGGCAGGGATG